GCACACTAAATGAAGTGAATGAGAAATTGCTATTGTAAGTTCGTACGTAAGTTTTAAATTCAATGGATTCAGCAGAATTTGATATAAATAAATGATGTAATTCATCTGGGGTATCATTCACTTTCAATCTAACAGCTCCATCACAACAACAAAAACCTTTCGATTCATTTTTAAATTTTAGAGCCCCACAATATTCACATAGCACAGGGCAAGGTAATACATGTGATTTGTTTGGTATCGAAAACGAACCTTCATTTACTGTAAATATTGATGGCATTAGCTCTGAATGAACACGAAGCTGATGGGTATAAGTCGCAAAACAGCTACCTATCACGGAAACCACATTAGAATCTAAAAAAGACATATCCCTTTAAAAAAATGTAAAACATGGTTATAAATTCAATTTTTAACAAAACAAATATATCAAATAAACTTATTTCGTCCAACATCAATGTTACAAACTTCATTACAACGAAGACTACTAAATATGAAAACATTCCCTATATAATTATACATAACACAAATCAAACATGACAAAGTAATCATATTCAACTATTTAAGGAATACAAGATTTTTTCACTGCTAAAAACAATATGTAATTAATACAAATAAGTGAAATATCTTATTACCTACTTGATTGTCTTCAATTTTAGAATTAGGAAAGAGACAAATTGAATCTGAACTGGTAACACCAGCAGCTGCGAAATTTTAATTTTGCAAAACCATTTCGAATGTTAAAGCCACACGGAATAGAAAAAATAATATATCAATATTGTATGAAACTTGTGTAGAAAAAAAGTAAAATCTCTAGCAAAAATCTACAATTTTAAATGTTAAACGCCATATGGTACAATTTTTTATAAAGAAGCTAACCTTAAAAATAAAGAAAGAAAAGAGAAAAAACATTTTCATTCAAAATATCCCTTTTTTTTGTCAGAATGAAGTATATAGAACAAATATTATAAATGTAGTATTGAAGTATAATAGTTTATATGCTTAGTTATGAAAATAAAAAAGTTAAAAAGAAAAAAAAAACTCCACATGAATAGAAAAATAGGCACAAGTCATAAGAGAAGGCAAAAATAACATCCAGAATATATTACAAATATGTTTCCTCTTGTAGTTAGATGTAGATACCTTCCAACTGGACAAAACGTAGAGACTTTCTCTTCGGCGTCTGTATGTCAATATTCAATTTCGCACTGTCATTGTACACTTCTCTTCGTCTTTTATTTTTCTTAGACACCAAAGCCATTTTTATACCTATACTCAAAACATACATTTCCTCTGTATATTCGATATAAATAAACATAGTTTGATATTATAGAAAAAGTTCAAAAGAATTTTGACATACGTAGAAACGAATAAACAAACACGCTAAATAATTTAATTGGTATAGTAAATTATTTTTTCTCATTGTGGCACATTTTTGTGCCTAAAGACAATTAGTATAATACAAAGGCAAGATCTTTCTCTCTCTGTCTCCCTCACATTGTTGCACATTAATAGACGAAAGTTGACACATTTTTATTTGCAATCCTTTTTCTATTTTTTGGGTATATACATGTCTTATGGTCATTCAATTTTGTTCGTAACCTAAGATGATCTTGACGAAGCGTAAATGATAATCTAGGCCAAAAAAAAAAATACTATTGTCTAAACATTTCGTAGGACAGAACATACAATTTACTAACCACTTATTATTCACACATTTCATCGGACCCGAAGCTTATAAGTACTACCAAACAAGCATAGCATGCAACTTATGAATATAGTAAGCAAAAAGAGTTCCTAACACAACCAAAAAAAAAAAATTACATTGTAAGAGATTATCAATTGATGTTGAAGAACTATGGTACAACAAAACAAACGACAAATTCAAATCCGCAATTGTATTTGCTACGTGGAAATGGGCTCATAGTTTTCAATTTTTTTTCAGCTCCCAAATGCAGTGTTCTAATATTGAATGGGTAAATTGTCTTGAGGCTTACTTCCCAGATTTTCTTTAGTCAATTTACAAGATTTCAACATGAGAATAATGAGTGGTTTAGGTGTCAAAATACTCAATAATAATACTTAACCATTAGAATTTTTTGCCAATATAAAAGACAATAAAAGGCTACTATTCTCTACATTATAATGTTATACCCGAGGTCCCTTAATCAATAAAACATAAAAACTAGGAATCGAAAAAGGGAAACGACAATACCTAATGATGCCACCACTAACTATTCCACAAACAGAATGATCCCAATTAATTAGTAAAAAATTTCTTTCTTTTAAGTTGAGCCATGTATAGAATAATTACTAAATTCAGTAACGCTAAATTGTAAGCAAAATTTGAAAAGGAAGGGAGAAAAATCCAAACCTCGCTTTTAGAATGACCTTAATAGCAACCTCCGGTCCTATAAATTTCCTCTTCTTAAACTTGGTCCGGTAAGTAAACCAAAAAATAAAAAGGAGTACGTTCCAAATCCTTTTCACTTGATGCAACGCTAATTAGATTATCCTTATTTCTTTTCTCTACAACTTCAGCGTCATCATCTTCAATGAGTAATGAAACATATTTCTCTGTATTTGGAAAAAAAAAACTGCAATTTATTACAAGTAGATGAGTAATGAAACATATTTCTCTGTATTTGGAAAAAAAAAACTGCAATTTATTACAAGTAGATGAGTAATGAAACATATTTCTCTGTATTTGGAAAAAAAAAACTGCAATTTATTACAAGTAGATGAGTAATGAAACATATTTCTCTGTATTTGGAAAAAAAAAACTGCAATTTATTACAAGGAAGTAAAACTTTTTATGAACCTTTGTAAATCTCTATTTTTTTATTTTTAATTTGCACATATCTTTGTCTCCTTATAGAACAATTTCATAATTTTGAGCTGTTTCATACAGATTGAGGTATTTCATAAAATTAATTTTATCAATTTGAGAATTATTAGTGAGGCCACGGATCTTTGCAAGCAATTTGGACAACTTTAAGATGTAAGCGTGTTTTTCTAAGTGTTAAAAAATTTTCTTTGTGCATGTAGTTCCAAATTATGAATTTATATGCATATTTGTAGTGTGCACACGAGGCTTCCGAAAATATTTCGAAAAAAAAAAAATAAAAGTTAAAAATGAAGCAAGAAATAACCTTAAACTGAAGCAAATACTAAATCCACATACCTCAGCTTGCCAATTCCCTATTTGGTGCGAATTTTCTAGTTTTTGGGAGATTCCACCCACTAAAAAAATAAAATTGTACGCACACAAAGAAGGAAAAGAATATTTAGTTGAAAATATCCAAGACTTGAAGGCAAAATAACGAGAAATCGAAAGGCACTACAATTATTTCAAAAGAAGAAAAAACCCTAAACTGAAGCAAATCTAGAATCGACATACCTTACGATTTTAGGGTATAAATACAAGAGTGTGCAACAAATTGCAGCAAGATGAAGAAACACAGCAAATCGCAAGAAGATGAAGACTTAGCATTGTAGTCACCGATAGAAGATGAAGACTCGGCGTTGTAGTCATCGATTGGATTCTCCCTTTTCTTTGGCCTCTTTTCTACAATCGACAGTGAAACTGAAGGTTAGCAGACTGCAATAGCCAGAGATATTTTTCATATGCAAAGACCATTAAGCCCTCAACTTCTAAATAAAGCCCTCAATTTGTGAATTAGTGTAAAGTAGGATTGAAGGGTAAAATTGAAAATTGCTATTAATGACACCTTCCACCCATTATAGGAATGGCTCAACCGATCAACAATGAGCCGTTCGTCTCGTGGTGTAGTGGTAAAATCTGGCTTATGAGCCAGCCAATGAATTGTGGCTTGTGAACAGTACCACTCCATTGCCTCTTTTAATTTGTACTAGTGACGGGCCGTGCGTTGCACGTGCAGTGGGTAATGCAGTGTAAGTAATAATGTTAGAATTCAGTCTTGTGGTATCTTAATGGAAAAGAAGACATGATTAGAAGGATGATTACATTAGATTATATAAAATGTGTCCACAAGTAGTTACATTGGCAATAGTAATATGAAGTACAAAACAGAGTTCTTAGGTGCCATACACAGAGATGTTACATGCCGTATTTGGGTACATGGTTTCTAATATGTTAATATGGACAATGAACAAAATTTAGTATGGCAGATAGAGATGCTGGGAATCTGGTCTATTGGATTGTGGACACAAGTGTGCAAAAGAAATACAAAATATGTATTTTCAGGTCTTCAACAGCTACTCTTGCTTCTGTTTTTTATCTGCATGTTTGGGAGCTTCATGTGTAGTGCTTGGTTGTGTGATGTTGGCAGGTAACTGGTTGTCATCTTGGAGGTGTGAGTCAAGGATGAAGATGACTTCATATGGTGCCTTGTTAGTGATTGTCTCTATATTTCCAGCTTTGATGTATACGATGTGCTCACGTGGAGTTGTTGCTGGAATTGTAGAGCTACTCTCCATATGTTCCTGTTGGAATGTTCATTAGAAGTAATTAATAGTATATTTATTGGAGAGAAAATAGTAGGCAAAAAAATGAAATTTTGAGATAGTTACATTAGAACTTTGTTTCATCAATTCTGTTGCCGAGCATTTGAGGAATGTTTCAGCTGGTTTTCCAATAATTGATGCTATGATTGAGCCTGTGTAGTCCTGTAACTGAACGATTGCTCTTGCTCTGTTAGAGTACAAGTGGAATCATTGTTAGTGTTTTGGGATGTATTTGATTATCATTAGATGATGAATAATGTATTTATTCATGTAAATGATGTACTTGTGACATGAATATATTCTGACCTTGGAGTCGGTGTAGCATAGTTGTGCTTGCAAAATCTACAAAAATAAGTTTCGTTTACAGCTACACTTGTAGATTTGTTGCAATTGTCACATGATAGATACCATAGTGGTTGGTCTATATCAGCCAATGTGACATTTGCTCTTGTCCAGAAGTGTCGTTGCTGCAATGTGTACAGTAACATGTGTGTGTATATATATATATATATATATATATATATATATATATATGTATGTATGTATGTATGTTAGGGATAGATATAAAATGTAAGTGAGAAGGT